ATTTCCGGTAGGGGTTCGTTCGGGGTTACTTTCATCTATTCACGCGATCTCCGCAAATGAATGCTTCAGATTCCAGATAATACAGAGGTTATGTTTATTTCAGCTTCCTCTGCCGGGACTTGAATAATGCATTTCATACCCTTTAATCTAATCGCGAGATCCTGCGATGAATGATGCTGAAAGTTAAAGACGCTTTTGATGTTCTACATTTTCTGCTTGATTATTGCGTTTCATTTGCTGGGAGTAGCATCGTTCGGTATTTTGAAGAGGACTCTTGATCTAATTTTTACTGGGAATTCAAGATTTTTCTGGGGTTAATTAGTCATGAATTTGTTTTATCTTGCTTTTTATTATTGGGGTCTTAATGAGGATCTGATTGTGATATTATAACGAGGGAAATTACAACGTGTGGAATTATAATAGGTTGAATTGTAACATATGGCAGTACAACTTGTGGAATGCAATGTGTGGAATTATAGAACGTGGAGTTACAAAACGTGGAACTATGACATATGGAATTACGATGCGTGAAAGACTATAATGTGTTGAAACTCAACGAGTGACAAAACCATGTGTGGAATTATAATGCGTGAATTTGTAACGCGTGAAATTATAATGCGTGAAGTTACAACGCGTGAAATTATAATGCAAGAAATTATAATGCGTGAAATTGCAACGCGTGAAGTTGTAACGTGTGAAATTACAACGTGTGAAATTATAACGCGTGAAATTATAATGCGTGAAGTTGCAACTCGTGAAATTACAACGCGTGAAATTATTACGCGTGAAATTATAATGCGTGAAGTTGCAACTCGTGAAATTACAACGCGTGAAATTATTACGCGTGAAATTATAATGCGTGAAGTTGCAACTCGTGAAATTACAACGCGTGAAATTATTACGCGTGAAATTATAATGCGTGAAGTTGCAACTCGTGAAATTACAACGCGTGAAATTATTACGCGTGAAATTATAATGCGTGAAGTTGCAACTCGTGAAATTACAACGCGTGAAATTATTACGCGTGAAATTATAATGCGTGAAGTTGCAACTCGTGAAATTACAACGCGTGAAATTGTAACGCGTGAAATTATAACGCGTGAAATTATAATGCGTGAAGTTGCAGCTCGTGAAATTACAACGCGTGAAATTATAACGCGTGAAGATACAAAGCGTGAAAATTATAACGCGTGAAATTATAAAGCATGAAGTTACAACTCGCGAAATTACAACACGTGAAATTACAACGCATGAAATTATAATACGTGAAATTGCAACGCATGAAATTACAATGCGTGAAATTATAACGCGTGAAATTACAGCGCGTGCTGAAATTTAAAAATGCTTTTGAGGTTAAGATCTTCAGATATTCTTGAAACTTTTCCTCATCCAGGAATTTAATAAACACAAAAATTCCTCTAAACCTTATATCACATCCTAACTAAAATGCACTCAAAAGAGAAACATTCATTTTACATCTTTTTAAAGATTCCGACCAGATGATTTTAGGCAAAATGTCCTTGATATATTTTTCTGAAAACCTTCCGAAGACCTAAATAAAGCTAGCTCTTTTATCTAACCGTAGAATCTTGAATACAACGAAAAATTCTCTATCTACCCAGATAATTTTGAGGTTATGTTTAATCAAGCATTCGCTTGAAATTTTCCTATCTGTTGAGGAATTGAATAATAAATATGATTTCCTTCAGGAGTTCTTTTAATCTAACCGTCTGATCTCGTGTAAAATGAATGGGAATGGTTTACGATGCTTTCGAGGTTATACTTATTCACCTCCGACGTTTTCTGCTTTGAACATTTCTGTACCATGTGATTTTCATTAATCCTTGATTGTGTTACTTGAAGGAAGATGGATGCAATTCGAGATATTTTTAGGTTATGAAGTATTTTCATTATCTCAAATATTTTTATAATTTCAACTTTCATGAAAAATTCTTAAGATTTGAAGTCTTGAATAGAAGTCGTGAATAGAACGTAGAACAAAAATTCAAGAATTCTGTATAATAAGAGTCGAGATACTTTTGAGGTTATGAAGCCACGCGCTGTAATTCCACGCGTTGTAATTTCATGCGTTCTAATTTCACGCGTTGTAATTCCACGCGTCGTAATTTCACGCGCTGTAATTCCACGCGTTGTAATTCCACGCGTTGTAATTCCACGCTTTCTAATTTCACGCGTTGTAATCCCACGCGTCGTAATTTCACGTGTTGTAATTCTATGCGTTGTAATTCCACGCGTCGTAATTTCACGCGTTGTAATTCCACGCGCCGTAACTTCATGCGTTGTAATTCCACGCGTCGTAATTTCATGCTTTCTAACTCCACGGGGTTTTAATTCCACGCGTCGTAATTTCACGTGTTGTAATTTCACGCGTTGTAGTTCCCATATTTAAGTCCGCGTCATCTAATTTCACGGAAAAAAATGATTTCAACTTCAATATGATTTCAAAGCGATTTTATAGGTTACGTTCCTTCATCGTAAATCGAATTCTGGCAAGAAATGATTCGACTTCCAGCGATTCCGAACTTCAGCATGAATCAAGATAAAAAGCTCGGATTTCAAGTTTTTCGCCGATATTTCCGAACATCGTTCTCATAAGTTAAAAAGCTCGATATCGTCGAAAGAAATGACGATCGGTGGCTGACACGAACATTAATTTCAGTTTGCGGTATCCGATCGTTGTATCGACAAAGAGTCATTCGTCATTGTCGAAAAGACGTACGACCGGTTACTTAGCGGCAAAAGCAATGACAATGAAAACCTCGGCTTTTAACTTTCGTATTCGCGGAACTTCAATTTTTCGTCAGATGACTGTTCCTCTTTCGCCTATTTATCCAAAGGGAACTTCGTATCATTCGTCTCTTTCACCGAAGACGTATGATCCCTGATCCGACTCCTTAAGAATCCTTCGTCCTTGGACATTAAACAGTAGAATGGGACAACGAATTGAATGCCAGCGAGGAAAAACACTCCGTTCTTTGGTCGTTTAAAATCGAATTTCACAGAATGTCCAAGGGAAGACGTATTATCGAAAGAAAACTGGAGTTTCTGTAATGGCTTCGTCGGAAGAAGCGGCGCGATAGTCTTCGTCAAGCTACCTTTACCCTTTAGCAATCTCGACCATCCTCGCTTTCAAGTGCATTCTTAACTCTGGATTTTGGAAGGACGTCCAAGTCGTTAGCCGTCTCATACACTGCTTTCAGCTGCAACTTTAGGAGCTTCTAAACGTATTTTACCTACTTGCCCTGACGTTTTATGCTGTTTTCAACTTTTGGATCTGGGCTCAGAATAAATATATGGAATGTAGGGATAAACATGTGTACATGTAGATTTAAGTATTTATGTTTGAAGATAATCAGGAACCTAGGTGTCTATCTATCTATGTATCTATGTATGTATCTATGTACCTTCATATGTGTCTATGTATCCACATATGTATCTGTGTATCTATCTATGTATCTACATATGAATCTATGTACCTACATATGTATCTATGTATCTACACATGTATCTGTGTATCTATCTTTGTATCTACATATGTATCTGTGTATCTATCTATGTATCTACATATGTATCTATGTATCTACATATGTATCTATGTATCTACATATGAATCTATGTACCTACATATGTATCTATGTATCTACACATGTATCTGTGTATCTATCTTTGTACCTACATATGTATCTATGTATCTATGTACATATGTATCTGTGTATCTATCTATATATCTACATATGTATCTATGTATCCACATATGTATCTGTGTATCTATCTGTATATCTATGTATCTATCTATCTATGTATCTGTCTATCTATGTATCTATATACCTATACAATCTACATACATACGTCTATCTACCTACATGTCCAGGCATTTAGCTACTCAGACATCTACATACACATGTATGCAGGTACATATATCTGTGGATCTACGTATCTACACATGAAGGAGTCAATGAAACTAAATATGTATACATCTAGATATTTGTAGACTAGGTGTCTGTGGACCTAGACCTAGAAGACACATATAGACCTACAAGTTTATAGACCCAGGTATTTATGGAGCTAGGTGTATGTGGACCTATATGTCCATGGATCTAAGTATCTATAGGTCTAGGTATTTGTGAAGTAGGTGTTTGTGTACATAAGTGTCTGTGGTCCTAGGTAGCTGTGGTCCTAACTGACTATGGAGCTAGGTGGACATAGGTGTCTATGGACCTAGAAGTTGTGGAGCTAGGTATCTATGGATCCTGGTGTCTGTGGATGTCTATGGATCTAGGTATCTATAGGTCTAGGTATTTATGAAGTACGTGTCTATGGACCTAGGTAGCTAAGGCCCTAAGTGGTTATGGAGCTAGGTGTCTATGAAGCTAGCTATCCATGAATCTAGGTGTCTATGAAGCTAGCTATCCATGAACCTAGGTGTCTATAAAGCTAGTTATCCATGAACCTAGGTGTCTATGAAGTTAGCTATCCATGAACCTAGGTGTCCATGAAGCTAGTTATCCATGAACCTAGGTGTCTATGAAGCTAGCTGTCCATGAACCTAGGTGTCTACTGATCTAGATATTTATAGATCTAGGTATCTGTGGACCTAGGTGTCTGTGGACTTAGGTGTCTATGGACCTAGGTGTCTGTGGACCTAGGTGTCTATGAAGCAAGCTATCTATGAACCTATGTATCTACAGACCTAGGTATCTGTGGACCTAGGTGTCTATAGACCTAGGTGTCTCTGGACCTACGTGTCTATCAACCTAGCTATCTACGAACCTACATATCTACAAATCTAGATGTCTATAGATCTACGTATCTATGGACCTAGATACCTATAAACCTATCTATCTATAACTCTAAACGTCCATGAACCTAGGTGTCTATGAACCTAGCTATCTATGAACCTAACTATGTATCTAATCTACGTATTGATCTACGTATCTACCGAATCCACAAGAAACACACGAAAGACTTTTCCATTGCAGGACGAAGCATGCATCAGAGAGAGGGATGGTCCAGAGGGTGTCTGCGACTCGAAAGCCTGCGAGGAAGCATCAAAAAGGATGGTGGCGTTCATGAAGAAGGGGGTTGATCCTTGCAAGGACTTCTATCAGTTCGCATGCGGCGGTATCCGTGATCAACAACCGTATCAGCCCAGTTCGAGCTTCAATATGCTTCAAGCAAGGGTCGACGACCACCTACACAGTGAGTGAACGATTCCTCATACTCCCTACGTCTTTTTTCCGCGTTCAGATACGAAGGCTTCTCGTTTCCTGAAAGTAAAATGTTTGCTCGAGCTTACCCTCCCTTCCGACACTCAAAACATCCGGTCGCTTAGCATTTTTCCCTAGTCACGTAAAAATATTGATGTTCAGAATCTATGCAATCGATGGAGCTGTAACCTCAATTTTACAGGTTGAAATTAGCTTTCCATCCCCATTTATTAACCGATTTATCACGTATTAACCGATTTATTATTTACGAGTTTATTAACTTAACTTAGTTTATAAAATTCGATTGATAGATTTATCAATCGAATTTTGGAAAACTCGAGTAGTCAGAAAAAGAACTTCTAGTTTCAGAAGGTTAATTTACATAGCGATACATCGTGGTTCCATTTAGTTTTATCGCTCGAGATGCTACCTTTAGCCCCTCTTCATCCTCTTCGACGACCTTAATCAATTCGAAGCGTATCCTTAGAAACGGGATGAAAGGTCGCCGTTAAAAATTTCGTTGATGCACTTTCTTTCAGCAGTGCCTCTTTTTCTGGGAAGAAGATCGCCCCGGAGGAGGCTGGTCCTTTCATGCCATTTCATCGTACTTGTTCGCCTAATCTGTTGCTCCGACGTTGCGTTTTTCATGGTTCCTTAACTTGATTGCTGCCATGGGGACCATTAGTTTATTTATTAAATAAAGTCTCTTATTCCAGTATTGTTATTTAAGGAAACAAAAAGAACTATTTAAGTCATTTAAGGAAAAGAACGAAAGTCATCAAGGTTGATTGAAGAGGTAGTCACATAAGTCTTCATAACAAAATTGTTTTGGTAATTCTCAAAAAAAGATGGAAATTTATAGCTAATATATGGGCTGGCACATCCACAGCACCGCTTTTAACAAATCTAAATAAAAAAATTATTATAGTAACATTTTCGTGCACCTTTGGCTTGAAAATAAAAGAGACTGTCACTCCGCCTAATTTAGGAAATAGCAGCTCAGAAAATAAAATTAATCAAAACGTGGAGCGAATAAAGTGGCGCAGATTATTTAGATTTGGACCTACAGGTCGTTCCAAAAGTTGTACCCACAGAAACGTATCACAGAATTCCCCGTCAACCCTTCGGATATTAAAAATTCAATATTAAATTCTGGGGTTACTGAAGTACGAAGTATGAAATTTTGAAGGCGTACACGTATTTTGAAGCTTCCTGTATGCATTCTGGCGAGGATACGCGCGAGTAAACAGAGGAGCAGTTGGGGGATGTAGGTCACACGCGATTAAAAGAGCTGGACGCGCACACGTCACGGCGCGCTGATGTAGGGGTTGAAAAACAAGTTGCCGCGTGTCCACCCCGACGAAACTGAGGAAAAAAGTTTCTTCGTTTTGCTCCACGCTGGATACTGCTTATACTTCCTGCACGAGTATGATCAATTTTGCAACACCTTCTCGACGCTGTTGTTTGCTCGTGTCTTCAATGAAGCATCCTCGTTGAATACCGGGTAAATAATTTCGCAACGTTCCTTCGCTACTTCGCGCGTTTCTTCTGGAAATCTGCAGAACTTTGCTAGACATTACGATAATGTGACAAGGGATGATTTATTGCTAGCTCGTTATAATGTTATATTTGTTTCCATGGAAATTCGATAGTATACTCTGGTATGGGTGTTTTATAATTTGGAAAGATTGCAAGTTTGATTTGAGAAAATATTTTTGTTGGAAGGGGGTAGTTTAGATGAGGAGGTATATTTCATTGTCATGATAGTGTATATATAATAATTTATTGATGTAGTACAGCACTATATTATTACTGTAAGTGTATAATATTTGTATCTTTCATCTAGGACAAACTTGCAGAGTTTGGAAATTTATAGACTCTTACAACATACAGGTTAAGCATGTATTTAATTATATGCTGACAGTATATTACACAGGGTGTCTCACAACTAATATCCCTGAGAGGTAGCTGATTCTGAATAGGATTTCCCTTTGCAAAAATGGGGTTTGAAGCTTTATTTTTTAATAGGATGGTGGGGTTCGCGATTCTGAACAACTTTTCCCTTTGCAAAAATTCGATACGATGCTTCGTTTCTGAGTTATTAAAGAAAAACACGGACCAATCAGAGCGCGAGCTACGCATGCGCAGACGCGAGAGCGTAGGCGGAGTCTAGTGTCCGCGCATGCGTACGGACCAACCAGAGCGCGATGACGCGTGCGCAGACGCGAGAGCGACAGCACAGCCTAGCTCCTGCGCATGCGCTCTGATTGGTCCGTGTTTTTCCTTAATAACTCAGAAACGAAGCTTCAGATCGAATTTCTGTAAAGGGAAAAGTCGTTCAGAATCTCGAACCCCTCCACCTTATATCAAGAGTGAGACACCTTGTATATATATCTAGTGCGATACTGATCATTTTCTTCAATATAATTTATGATCCGTGTGAAGCACAGTTTTTTTCTTACAAGAGTTTGTTGTTTAGTAGAACATTTTGTAGTATCCATAGCATCTGACTAAGAAAATAGTGGAAGAAAGTATAAGAAACGAAGGCTTGGCAAGCGTTTAAAAGTGAACTTTTCCTTTGTTCTCCGTGCGACCACTTGGCGCCAGATTTTTTCGAATTTCTTCATCGAGAAGATATCCTCTCGGAGATATCCTCTCGGTATCCTAGTCATCTCTTTTTCTGACACACTTTTTGCGTTCAATCTGTCTTGACACATTGGATGTTAGCCGTAGATTCGTTTTGCCAATTTTCTGCGGGATTTTATCAACATTTGTTCGAGATTTTTCTGTCTCGTTTGGTGCCCTATTTCGCGTTCAATTTGATCCGACTATTGAGGTTTTTTGGAAAAACTTCGCTGAACGAATTCCAGTGAAAATTTTTGAGTGAAAACTTTTGAAGAAGATTTTCTCTAGATTTTTAGATTTCTATATTTTTAAATTCATGGATGCTTAGATATTTAAATTCTTAGATTTCCCATTTCTTAAATTTCTAAACACCAAGTTTCTTCACATTAATATTTCTGCACCACAAAATTTTTCTCCCTATCAGCACGATTAGCAGCGTGATCAGTCGAAAGACCACTAAATCTTGGGAGATACAGGAAATAGGTGAAGAACATTTTCACGGTCTAGAACGATCAACGGAAACCCGTGTCTCCCGGAACAGCGACGAAGCCTTAAACAGTATCTGAATTTACGTAAGACGAAAGAAGGGGGTTACAAACTTGATTAATCCAACGTGTTTAATGGGTCAAGTTCGTCTCCGTAAGCTGGACGAGAGTTACGTGGAGACTCGATCATTCGAATCGACTCTTCTCGATTCAAGCGAAATCGCCGTCTTAAACTATGGGTTTGGCAAGCGAATTCGTGACCTCCTTAAATATTTTATTATTCTGTATTTCAAAACCTGCTTTCTGTCTCAGAGAAATTATTCCAGCACTTACAAGATTAAATTATTCTCACAAAAAATTTATATTCAAGAAATTTTTATGAAATAACTTTCGAAACAAAATTAACAAACCGAAGTCGAATAAAAAATTCGAAAAATATAGAAATCAATAAAAAGATTGCTAGATTCTCGCATCGGTTTTGATATTAAACGAGGCGAAGTATGAAATAAACGGTAAAGTTTGATATAAATAGTTAGCGATTAATTCGGGTGTAATTAACATGTCGGTGAAATTGACGAAGACCCAATTAAAGTTTCTCGGTTTCGAAAAGTTTAACGAACGAAATGGAGGGAGAGATACGTTGCTCGTTTCTTCGGAGTCAGTTCTACTGATTAAGCGGGAAAGCTCGTTTCGTATTTCACGTGGTGCTCGGCTACATTGTCTGACCGCAAATTCGATAATCTCCCGGGGCTTCACCGAAATTAGCTTTATCACTTCGGCCTGGCAGAACTATTTCGGTTTTGTCTAGACGCGTTATTTCTCTTCGTTAATTGTTTTCGCTTTTCACGTTCTAATTATTCCTTCCTCTTGTCGAGTATGTTCTCATAGCTATATTTTTAGATGGAACTTATTATCAGATTATTCTGTGTTATTGATTGTTGGTTGATTGCTGTTGATTATCAATATCAATATCAATCATAAATATCAAGCAGCAATATCAAACATCAATATCAAACATCAATATCAAACATCAATATCAAACATCAATATCAAACATCAATATCAAACATCAATATCAAACATCAATATCAAACATCAATATCAAACATCAATATCAAACATCAATATCAAACATCAATATCAAACATCAATATCAAACATCAATATCAAACATCAATATCAAACATCAATATCAAACATCAATATCAAACATCAATATCAAACATCAATATCAAACATCAATATCAAACATCAATATCAAACATCAATATCAAACATCAATATCAAACATCAATATCAAACATCAATATCAAACATCAATATCAAACATCAATATCAAACATCAATATCAAACATCAATATCAAACATCAATATCAAACATCAATATCAAACATCAATATCAAACATCAATATCAAACATCAATATCAAACATCAATATCAAACATCAATATCAAACATCAATATCAAACATCAATATCAAACATCAATATCAAACATCAATATCAAACATCAATATCAAACATCAATATCAAACATCAATATCAAACATCAATATCAAACATCAATATCAAACATCAATATCAAACATCAATATCAAACATCAATATCAAACATCAATATCAAACATCAATATCAAACATCAATATCAAACATCAATATCAAACATCAATATCAAACATCAATATCAAACATCAATATCAAACATCAATATCAAACATCAATATCAAACATCAATATCAAACATCAATATCAAACATCAATATCAAACATCAATATCAAACATCAATATCAAACATCAATATCAAACATCAATATCAAACATCAATATCAAACATCAATATCAAACATCAATATCAAACATCAATATCAAACATCAATAT